AAGGACAGCGCTGGCCCCGTCGTTGTCCGCGCGCGGTTCTGTCTTCTTCTTGGGCTTCTGTCTGTTTTCTTATCTTTTCTTTGACTTTTTCGTTCTTTCTTCATCATCCTTTTCTTCTTCATCTTCGTTTTTCTTATCTTTTCTTCTTCGTTCCTTCTTCTTCTTCTTCTTCTTCTTTCTTATCTTTTCCTTTTTCTTTTTTCTTTTTTCTTCTTTTCCCTTTTTCTTTTTCTTTTTCTTTTTCCTTCTTCTTTTTCTACTTCTCCTTCTACTTCTTTGTCTGGAAATGGTTCCCTCTATCCTTCCCCTACCCCGGTCTCTTCCCTCCCTCTCCTCCTCCCCTCCCCTCCCCTCCCCTCCCCTCCCCTCCCCTCTCACCCTCCCCTCCCCTCCCCTCCCCTCCCCTCCCCTCCCCTCCCCTCCCCTCCCCTCCCCTCCCCTCCCCTCCCCTCTTCCTCCATCTCCGAGGAAGGGGCGAGAGAGAGAGAGAGATAGGGAGGAAGGGGCGAGAGGGAGCGGGGAAGGGGCGAGAGGGAGCGAGAGGGAGCGGGGAAGGGGCGAGAGGGATCGAGGAAGGGCAAAGGAAAGAGGAAGGGGGGCGAAGAGGAGCGAGAGGGAGCGGGGAAGGGGCGAGAGGGAGCGAGAGGGAGCGGGGAAGGGGCGAGAGGGAGCGAGAGGGAGCGAGGAAGGGGCGAGAGGGAGCGGGGAAGGGGCTGAGTTTAATTAAAACTTCTGGTTCCTTCGCAAAGATTGATAGGGAAGGAGTTTCATAACAAAGCTAATGGCAATACGGGAAGTGTGTTCGGGCGCGGCGGCTCGTGTGTCTTGAGGCGTTTTTATTGCTTTTTATGCCTTTCTTGTTTTGTTATTTTGTCTTTTTTTGTCTGTTTTCGCTTTTTTTTCTGCGGAGAGTGGAAGGGATAGGGGTAGGGGGAAGGGGAGAGGGAGAGAGGGAAGGGGAAGAGGAAGAGGAAATGGAGAGGGAGAGGGAGAGGGAGAGGCAGAGGGAGAGGGAGAGGCAGAGGGGAAGGGAAAGGAAAAGGAAAAGGAAAAGGGTAGGGGGAAGGGGAGTGGAAGAGGGAGGAGGGAGAAGAGAAGAGGGGGAGGGGTGGGGGAAGAGGAAGGGGAGAGGGAAGGGAAGAAGGGAAAGAGAAAGAGAAAGAGAAAGAGAGAGGATAGGAAGTGAGGGAGGGAGAGAGAAAAACAAAAGAAAGAAAAACAAAAATGAAAAAGGGGAAAAGAAGAAAAAGAAGAAGAAAAAGGAGAAGAAGAAGAAGAAGAAGAAGAAGAAGAAGAAGAAGAAAAGAAGAAGAAGAAGAAGAAAGCAGCAGCAGCAGAACACTTATTAACTGTGGCAGAGGGAGTTGGCACGTGAAGCATCATCTGGCGCTCTTTACGCGTGTTCTCGTGAAGCTGGTGATGGTGTGAATTTATTATTTAGCCTGCCTCGTTCGGTCTTTCTCTGGCTACGTGTATTTCCCTTTGTCTAAGTCTTTCTCTCTCTCTTTTTTTAATTTTTTTTCCTGTTCCACCCCTCCCCCCATTTTCCTCTCCCCGTCTCCCCACTCCTCTCCCCTCTCCTCCCCTCTCCTTCCCTTCTCTTTCCTACTCTTCTCTTCTCTTCAACCCATTCTCGTCCCTCCCTCCCGGTTTCCTCTTCCTCTTCTCCTCCTCCTCCTCCTCCTCCTCCTCCTCCTCCTTCCCCTCCCTCCTCCTCCTCGTCCTCGTCCTCCTCCTCCTCCTCCTCCTCCTCCTCCTTCCACCACCTCCTCCTCCTCTCTCCTCCTCCTGCACCTCCTCCCTTCCTCCTATCTCCACCCTCCTCCTCCTCCTCCACCTCCTCCTCCTCTCATTTCGTCACCTCCTCCTCCTCCTCCTCCTCCTCCTCCTCCATCCTCCTCCTCCTCCTCCTCCTCCTCCTCCTCCACCTCCTCCTCCTTCTTTCACCTCACCGGTATCGCTTCTGATCACGTAAATAAGAGGAAACCCTTTACTTCATCGAGGATTGACGGGGGTTCCTTCTCACCCTCTCACATCTCCCTCTCTCTTTCTCCCCTCTCTCTCTCTCTCCTCTCTCTCTCATCATCTCTCTCTCTCTCTCCTCTCTTCCACTCTCTCGTCTCTCTCTCTCTCACTTTCTTTCCTCTCTCTCTCTCTCTCTCTCTCTCTCTCTCTCTCTCTCCTCTCTCTCTCTCCTCTCTCTCTCTCTCCTCTCCCCCTCTTTCCTCCCTCTCCCTCTCCTCCTCTCCCCCCCTTCTCTCTCTCTCTCTCTTCTCTCTTCTCGATCTCTCTCTCTCTCTCTCTCTCTCTCTCTCTCTCTCTCTCTCTCTCTCTCTCTCTTCCTCCCTCCCTCTTCCTCTCCCTCTGCCTCTGCCTCTGCCTCTCCCCCCCCCCCCCCTCTCTCTCTCTCTCTCTCTCTCCTCTCTCTCTCTCTCTCTCCTCTCTCTCTCTCTCTCTCTCTCCTCTCCCTCTCCCTCTCCCTCTCCCTCTCCCTCTCCCTCTCCCTCCCCCCCCCCCCTCTCTCTCTCTCTCTCTCTCTCTCTCTTCTCTCTCTCTCTCTCTCTCTCTCTCTCTCTCTCTCTCTTCTCTCTCTCTCCTCTCTCTCTCTCTCTTTTTCTCCTTTTCTCTTATTTTCTCTTTTCCTTTCGCTCTCTCTTGCTCTTTCGCTGTTTCTGTCTCTTATTTTTTTCTCTCTCTGTTCCTCTCCCTCTCCCTCTCCTTTCCTCCCTCCCTCCCCCTCCCTCTTCCCCCTCCCCTCCCTCCCTCCCTCCCTCCCCCTCCCTCCCTCCCTCCCTCTAAAAAATACATTTAAATAAAATGCGAGATTTTCGTTGTGTTATTACAGGCAAAAAAAAAATATTGGCCCTATTTCGAATTTAGTTTAACTTATCTGTAATCATCTTGCAAATAAAAACAGCACATGACAAAAATAACGAGTTCTTTTAATAGCTTAATAAAGAATAAACGTAAAAATATATGCAATTAAAAATAAGCTGTACGTATGAAATTACTGGACTTGTTCCAATTCTTGGCTTAGCCTTGGCTTTGACTTCGGATAATCGGGATGAAAGCGTTCGGGTTGTTTATATACGTATATATGACTGTAGATACATACATACATGCATGCATACATGCATACTTAAATACACGCACACACACACACGCACGCTCGCACACACACACACACACACACACACACACACACACACACACACACACACACACACACACACACACACACACACACACACACACACACACTTCCACTCCCATACCATTAACAAATAACCGGATATCAGAATGGGGTAGATAAGATAAGATAAGAAAAACCACTGTAATCCCCCCCCCCTTTCACCCCCTTCACTCCCCCCCCCCTTCACTCCCTCTTCACCCCCCCTTTCTATAAATCGCGCGCGCTTCAACCAAGGAAAGAAAACCACACGTGCGACATTTAGTGGACCAGTTTATTCAGAGTAAACTTTTCACTTCGAGTATTTTAAGGGAAAAACCTGTTCATTCGTTATCAAAGGGATCTTTTCCTCGGTTAATGGTCGTGAATGGGAGGGTGGTTAAGGGATAGGGGGTAGATGGTGGGTTGGGGGGGGGGAGGAAGAAGAAGGAAGAGAGTAGGAAAGAATGGGGAAGAAAAGGGAGAGGAGAGAGCAGTGAGCAGGAGGAAGGAAGGAAGGAAGAGAGAGAGAGAGGAGAGGGCGAGGGGAGAGGAGGGGAGGGAAGGGAAGGGAAGGGTAGGGTAGGGTAGGGTAGGGAAGGGAAGGGAAGGGAAGGGAAGGGAAGAGAAGAGAAGAGAAGAGAAGAGGAGGGGAGGGAAGAGGAGAGGAGAGGAGAGAACAGAACAGAACGGAACATAACAGAGAGAGGAGGAAGGAAGAAAGAGAGTGTCGAGGAGAGGGAAGAAAGGGGAGAGGGGAGAGAGGAGAGAGGAGAGAGGGCAGAGGAAAGGGGAGGAGAGGGAAGAGGGAGAGAAGGAAGAGGGGGAGAGGGGAGGGGAGAGGGGCAAGGGAGGGGCGGCCACCTGACATGTTTAGCGGCAAGGAATGGCTATGTTGAGCGCTCAGGTGTGTTGTCATGGCGACCTTCAACCCTCTCGCAAACTTCGGGATTTGGGGAGAAATTACGAGATATTTTTATGTTGCGAAGTGTTGACTGTTGCTCTTATTGTTATTATTAGTTCGTGAGGGCTGTGAGAGATGTTATTATTGCTGTTGTTGAGAGTAGAATTATGTTAATGATGGTGGTATTAGGTGTAATTGCAGTATTTGTAGTAGTAGTAGTAGTAGTAGTAGTAGTAGTAGTAGTAGTAGTAGTACCACCACTACTACTACTACTACCACCATTACTACTACTACATTAATAGCAATAATGATAACAGTAAAAATAGTAGTGATAGTAATGATAGTCATGATATCATCGCACCCTCCCTCTCTCCCTCCTCACATTCTTCCTCCCTCCCTCCCTCTCTCCCTCCTCACTTCTTCCTCCCTCCCTCCCTCTCTCCCTCCTCAACTTCTTCCTCCCTCCCTCCCTCTCTCCCTCCTCACTTCTTCCTCCCTCCCTCCCTCCCTCCCTCCTCACTTCTCCCTCCTTTTCCCTTCCACCCACCCACCCTCCCTCCTTCTCCCACCCCCTTCCTCCCTCCTTCCCTCCCCTCTTCTTCCAATCATCCACCCACCCAGCCTCCCTCCCTCCTCCCTCCCTCTTCCTCCCTCCCTCCCTCCCTCCCCTCTTCCACTCATCCACCCACCCAGCCTCCCTCCCTCCTCCCCGCGCGACAGAGCCGGCCCGTGTTTCCTTCCCTCCCGATGATCTCCGTCTGCGATTTCGTTCTGGAATCTTCGGCGGAGGAGGGGGGAAGGGGGGGGGGGAGAGGGGCTGCGGGTCATGGATTCTCATGGCGTTTTTATTTATTTTTTAATTATTTATTTATTTATTTTTTAATAATTGGGGTTTGTTTAATTGTGGGTTTGTTTGTTTTGTTTTTG